GCTCTTAATCAAAAACTGAATATTATCATTGTTCTTGCTCTGACTTACTTTTATGCTCTAAACATTATTTAAGTAGTTTTAACTGATTTTTTCGGAATTAGTAATTATGAATCATTACACAAAATCGATGAATTATTTTTGAAAATCCATATTTAATTGCTGTTTATAATTCAATTTTATTTTTAGAACAATTTTGCAGTGTTATTTAACAATATTAACTATAATATTTGTGACATTTGGATTAATAATTATCGCTTTGCATTATTGTCATATAAAAATAACTGACTGTATTTTGACACAGTTTCTTAACGGAATCTCATAATAACGAATTGAATATTCGCTCTAATTTCTTCTAAGTCAATTTTCGCTCATTTTTTAATTACTGTTTAAGCAAATTCCACTCAATAACTACTTTCTATAATTTTAAATGTTTTTCATTAATTTGTTGGATAGAAATATATAAAAATCATTTCAGGATGATTATTCTGCCTAATTTATATAGCATAGCATAATGCTGGCAGTAATGGAATAAAACAGGTCAAATAAATTCGAATATGAGTATTTATGAAGAAATTTTGCTTTTTTCAAACTTTATTTTATGACATATTTTTGATTTTCAGTTAAAAATTTTGCGACAGTATTTACTGCGACAGTAAACAGTATAAAAATTTTGCGACAGTAAAAATCAATTCAGTTTTGCACTTAATCAAATTACTCAGATTTCTAATACAAAAATAACTTCAGAATTTTTAACTTTATAATTTGAAAATTATGTTTATATCAGTAATGTACTACTGCTATGGATAAATCAAACGACTATCGCGAAAATGAACGATTAAGCTTATTTTGTATGTTTTACTTATTTTTGAACATATTATAATATTAGTAAAATTGAAATGGAATTAGGACAATAAACGGCAAGTTCAGTAACATCTAAGTTACTATATTTCTTCAATTACACTAGCAAATTATTTGCATATCAGTATCATTATCAGTGAATGATACTGATATGCAAATAACTTAATCGGTTGTATACAAAAGGGTCAGGTGTCCTTCACTTGATATTTCTTTCATGAATTTATTTATCAGCAAATTATAATTACTGTCATTATTAAGCACTGATAAATATTTTTTTCTACAATACAATGATACAATTTATGATTCAATACAGTAATTTTTGACCTCATACAAATGAATAAAGAGATTACTACAATAATTGGGTCCTGCCATTAGGAATAACATAAAATACTTGCATACAAGCAATGAATAAGTTGCTATTGAGCAGCATTTAGAACATGATAAATTCAAAAATAGAGTAAAAATTAAAATAAACCAATACTTTGTATTCCAAAATAATAACATTTACGTGAAAAACCAGCGTAACTGAAAAAGAATTAAATAACAATATAATATTTATAAGTAAAGCAACAGATTTCTGTGGAATAATTCCATATTATATAACTGAATAAAGCAATTTATTAAGTGTTAAAATTCTTTTCACAACTATAATAGACGTACTTGGAAAAAGACCTAAGCTAAAACTTAGACATTTACTTTCAATTTCTTTTGTTCAAAATTGAAAACCTATACTGTAAATCATACTGTAAATTTAAATAGATGACAGTACCAAGATTAACAACAGTGAACAACAATTGTTTCTTCTTGTCTCTTTTCATAGCAGCAAATTAAAATAGCAGTAAATAAGGTTAATGTTAATAAAAGTATTCCACTGAGTTAAAAATAATTTTAAAAAACGAATCATTTTATTCTCAATCGAGCCCGTACTTCCACCTTCACTTGGTGATTGTTTATTGTGTTCTTGCAGTATTTAATAATTATTATTAGTTTATGCAAATTCGATCCGTTCTGTTTCTTGATAACGAAAGCACAAGTGAAGAGCACGGAAAAGTAACATCAGACCTGATGCTGATATCATTCCAACTACAAAAATGTAATAAATAATTAATAGACTCACTTTAGAATTATTTTTAGCCTGAAGTTGCTAACACTCATAAGTGATACTTTTATTCTGATTAAGCTAAATCTAAATCAAATCAAACTAGCATTAAATTTTTGAACACAAACTTGACGGTAATTTATTCTAGCTGAATGAGAAACTTCAAATATGCAAATTTTTACAATACTAACAGAAATGGCTATGGCAGGCAAATATTTTCATCATATTAGCTTTCTAAGATAAACTAATAAAAGTGTGCAAGTACTACAAAAGAAAGTACTTTTTGTATCTAATAAAGGAATTTTGCAAACAAAAAACATAACAATTGGGGTCAAAGATCAAGCAAAGTTTGCTTTATAAACCAAATGTGCACTGCTGTATATTTAATATGCGAATATTTGTACGATCTGCACAATTATTACATGTTTGAAGTCAAACTTTTGCTCAAAATGCTAAACAAACTAACCAACAAGAAAGTATGGTCCAGAACAATCTAAGAATATTTTATTTGCTAGACCAAAAATAATACTGCTTAGCAAAAACAGCGATCCAAACATTATCAGTGAGCATGCTCGTATTCGGACCTTAAAATGATGCATATTTATTTTTATTAATTTAATTTATTCTTTTAATTATTT